ACGTGACAAAAAGCCTTTAACTTTTATCCACCAGTTTTCCTCTGACAAACAGTTTAAGGAGATGAAACTATTTAGCAGTCCAGAAAGGTGAGCACTGTACAGCATTCGTTAAGCAGGATAACATATATGTAACCAAATAAAGGACCCATTTGAGGAGAGACAGGGAAGGATGGATTGGGATAATAACTGCTCAAGCTTTTATTTTTTTGAGCACTTCAACAAACAATAAAAGCCTTGATTAAATAGTTTCATAAGCTAATTTAAATGAAACAGTGTAACTAGTTACCCACAGTCTGTAACAGTCCAAAGTAATTTTTAAAATTATTTTAAATTTTTAAAAAACAGTATTTTACAAAGACCATTTTCACTACCAGATTTTTAATGTCACTATTCAACCTGTTCTACTTCTGACAATGTTCTTTACATTGTGTTTTCAACATTTTCAACAGTTGGTAATCAATTTATATATTCAATCCACATATATAAATACATTTTTTCATTGAAATATTTTTTTCTCAGCACAGTTAAAAGAGAGACTTAATTATATCCATGTTTACTAAAGCAAAGGCATATAGACACTGTGGGTGGTTCTTGAAACCCTTCCCTCCCTCTTCTTGTGGTGGTCCCTAAGTATCTGGCAGCAGGAACAGCTCACATGTATGGCTACAAATACTGAGTCTGAAAATCATATATTCTCTGTGTTCCCACGGCACAAAGCTCAATTACGGATGTCACCATAGACAAGCAATCACCACAATTACCATGAAGCTTCCAGTTGAATGAAAAGTCATTGGAAAAGAGAAAACCATAGAGGAAAAAGGAAAAAAAAAAAATTTCGACAGATGGAAAAAAACAGAAAGAAAGAGAAGGTCATATTGATTGTGTTGCACTGACAAAAAGATGCAGCTAATGTCACCGATGCATTAATTCACTAAAGAGGGGGGTTAAAAAACAGTCTTGGAAAAATATCTAAACTACTTTTTGAAAACAAGAGTGAAAAAGGTTGAAAACAACTCACTTGACCAATATCTATTATGTCTTTAAGCATATCTTTGATGAGATACTACTTTTCTTTCCTTTTTTTCAGAAAAATTAAGTAGATCTAAACTTTGATAACACTGAATAAAGTCTGAAAATCTAGACATGGAAAACTGTTTGCCATCATTTTCTCATATACCTTTGATAATGTGTTCTATTTTGTTACAACGTTATTTTAATGCCTTGACCAGAATAAATATAAATTGTACATCAAGACAAGACATTAAGTTTACAAGCACAAAAATCAGAAGATACCAAAAAAAGTCCAAAGAGGTCAATTTTTAATATTATGACATGTAAACTGTCTCGACCACAAGCTATTTTGCCTTCAAAAACTGTTTCAAGATTTTCCTGTGGAAAGAGGCTGTATTATCTTAATTTTATAGATCACATACTGAAGTCAATGAGACATTATGGCCAGAAGTATCCATTTTTTGGAGGGTGGGAGTGAAGAAGAGTGATGAGAGGCCTAGAACTTGACTTCAGAGAGGGCCTGGTGTTTGCACGCTCAAAGCCCCAGAGCTCTCACTGATTCCAAGTACAAGCAAGCTGTTCAGCAGAACACTCATGCTGATCATCAGATTTTTCTGGTGCTCCTCTCTAAAAAATGGGTGGGTTTGTAACACTCAGCTTGCCTCGTACCACATATGAATGAACTCCCTAGGGGAGAAAGAACTGAATTTGATTCCCAAAGGCAGTATTCAGCTGCCTAAATTATAATACTTCCTCAAGTACATTAATTCCCAGTCCATCATTTCAACAATCAGGACAATGATTTTCAACAATGTTTTTTCACTACACAGCCCTGACACTAAAACATGCCCAGCCCGTACAGGAAGACAAAAGTCTCAGAGGGGAAAAAAAAAAAAAAAAAAAAAAAAAAGAGGGAGATCAGACATGGAGGGTGATTATAAGCTGTATAATGATCACTGTGCATGTGTATGGAAATTATTATTGTACTGGCAGTCTACAACTCTGACACCTCCTAAATTTCAAGTAAGCTTCAAATGGATATAGCTACTTTAGAAGAAAAACCTTTATGCATAGTTTCCCAGGTTTAAAAAAAAATGCTTGCAAATTCTCATATGCCCATAAAATAGATAGAAACACTCAGCTCTACAGTCTCCTCTGCATTTTGAGCTGATGGAGCATCTATTGACAGAGGAAGCATGATAAACTCTCACTGACCCAGAATCAGAGAGAAAATGAGTAGACTGAGTGGGTTTCATGGGGACTTCAGCAGCAGACGTGCTGAGGTTCTGTAGCCTCAGGAGTCTAGTCCACTTGCTGGGAAGGGAGAATTATCTCTATCCCTATCCTATCCCACTTTGTCCAGGTGTTCACCGTTATTATGTCAGGTTTTGGCTTTTGCCCCAATCTCTTTCATCCTGCCACATTGTTTATAGACGGTCTCCCCATCATATTTAATGACTCCCAGATCTGCCATTTGCTTCCAAATGACTTGTTCAGTCAGTCTGCCTCCCCTTCCACTGGCTCTATGTATCAGTCTACCCCCATATCTCCTCAAGAGTTCACATTATTTTCTGCATTTAGCTCAGGTAGTTTTCCTTCTGTTACCTACCAGAAGAGGAGGAGAACGCTTGGAATACAAAAGGAACAACCGAACAACGCAACAATACAAAGCTGCATTACAGGAGAAATTCTACTGAATCCCAGATAGCTCACACCCGTATAAGGGATCAAAGTTACTAAACTCTAAGTTTTCAAGTTGCTCAGTAGAATTTTAAGGATCAAAACTAGGCCAAATTTAAGCACATTTATACAGGAACAGACAAGTATATTCCAATACAAGGAAACCCTTCCACCAAATTTCAATCCCTCCTCTTAAGTTTAAGGATAGTACTTATTTTGGTTTCTTTTCTTCCAAGTAATCACCATTTTTTGCCCCATTGAGTAAACAGTATAGTTTGGGGGTTTTTTTAGCCTTTAACAAAAATGAAGCAAGCAATTAGCATAGCACATTTCTATTCTGCTATTAAAGGTTGGTGCACTTGTCAACATGTGAAAAGAAGGCCTACTAACGGGAAGCATCAAGTCACTGGTACTCAGATAAAATTACATTACCTTCACGCTTTTAATAAAGGCAGTAACCAGCACATTCCCCATCTGCAGCTTTAGCAAATCCACATAAAAATTATCATCCATTATATCCTGGAACAACTCTTGCATAAATGCTTTTTGAGTTTCTTTCATTTAATTTGTGCTCTTGACTGCCTTCCAAGTCAAAATGCATCATCCTTCTTACTCTTTTTTTTTTTTTTTTAAATTCACTTTGTACCTTTGTACTAGTGTCTGTAGGATCCTCACACTTAAATACTTGGAGATGGTTAAACTTGCTTGTGCTAACATTCAAGTATCTTTTATATCTTGCTTTATCTTTTGGACAGTTAGTCAAAAGCATTACCTAAAATAATGCTCTAAAATTTATAGGAGCTTTAGGAAAAATGGACACATGGCTAGCAACATTCCATATTTTTCTTACCTTTTGTTATTTTTGGAAATTGTTTCCATGTGCTAGCAAGTATTAAACAGGGCTAAAAACGATACTTTGAGATTTGAGCTGATTTCAAAGATCACCATAGAGAAATCCAACTGTTTGATCCTGAGTTACACAGCTTTTGTGTACAACATCTTAAAGATTTTTACACTGATTTCAAGTTTAGTACTTTACTGTCAAAAGGTGCCAATACTGCACCAGTAAATTCTGTGCCAAGATCTTCTCTAGAATATCAGACAGTTCTCAAAATAAACTGTGATTTATTGACTGAAAAAAGGTTACCCATTTACAGGTACTGGTAAGACAACAGCAAGAACAAGATGAAAAACATTTCACATTATGTAACTTTGATCCTAATTTGCAGAGTACATAACTTTTACATTTATCCCACCTAAGAAGTGTATCAAGAGTTCCAATAGTTGCAATCTTTGATGCTAAAATAACAACCAGAAATGCTTATTTTGCTGAATAAATGCTGATCAACAAATGCTACTGTACGAAACAATATAATGCTACATTGGCATCTCGTCACACAATACTACCCAGTAACCATACCTAAACATACAACAATCTCTTTCTTTTCCGGTACATTTTTAAAGGCTGGGCTTCAATGGGGAAAAAGAATATTCTGAAAACACTTTCAATTTCTATGAATTTTCAAGTTTTACACATGAAAAGCTTAAGCTATATAAAATTAAAGCTAACAAAATAAAACTTCTGTTGACATTGCTTTAAGCTGCAGAAAATAACACATGAATGTTTTTATTAAGAACAGCATGATGGCAAAGGAGTACATGAACTTTAAAATAAAATTTCCAGAGACTAATTTTTCAGGAGTGCCTAGGGACTCACTCTTATCCTCTCCAAACACTGCAGGTGATGTATAATAGCACACTAAAGGGCCAGGAAGGAGTAAAATCTGAAACTCTGGTACTGAGACATACCTCCAAAATCCCCATATTAAAAAAAACCAAACAAACAACAGAACAACAGAAAAAATTATCTTATTGGACAAAAGTTATTTCTACAGTACCTTCAGGGGTGATAGCACTAGGACACACATCTTTTAGCAGATCTCCCAAAGTATGCAACTGTCCTCCTGAAGCAATTGGTCGAAATAGCTTCTGTATAAAAGGTCTCTCTGTTGTTGCCTATTTTAATAAAAAAATTAGCAAAAACAACAGTTTAAGGACCATGCAAATATGTAGTATTACTATTTGAGACAGGCAGAAGATAGGACAGAACAAGAGGTTGTAGAAGAAATGTCTGGCATTTCTATTCTTTTTTTTTCTCCCCCTTGCATTCCATTCATATCATGAAATGCAGGGGAATTTTTGATAACAATTGAAAATAAGTTCACACTCCAGAAAACCATGAAGATAATTCATAAACAGATGTATGGATATAAGTGTCTTTTTTTTTGGTTGTTTTCAATTTAAACAAACCCCCCTTCTGTTATGAGAATAGGATCTGCCTGAACACAACATTTCAATGTATCCTTAAGTAAAACAAGCAATGAGCACAAACTTAGGAGCTTAACATAGGCCTACATGTTTTGCCAAGTCAGAGTAATACTGTAACAAATATCCAATACCTTCTGCAATAGTCTATCTTCCTCCTTTTAGAAACACTAAGCACTTTCAATGGCAAACAAGTACCCTTATAGCTCAAGCCAGGTAAATTTTTTTCCAGTAGATTTTATGTTGAAAAATTCAAAACTATTTCAGCCACAAGAAACAGAGTACAATTAAGAAAAAAGTGTTGTGCTTTGACAGGCAACCTAAAGTCTTCTGCCTACTTAAGGAATTAGTCAGATGTAAAGATCACATATGCCCCGCTTCTGCTACAGATATGAACAGGAATTCAGAATGTTTTCAGCTATGGGTCCTGCTAGATCTTGCACATCATAATCATTTATTTGGAGACAAAAAAAGCAAATTGACTGGCAGTAACTACTTCCAGTCACTGTCCACGGCACAGGCAATAAAACTCCTAACGCTGCAGAAGAAGCAAAGTAGCTTATGGGACCTACAGATGCACTTACTGAAGAACTGTGGTCAGGTAATCCCCCTCTCTGTATAAGCAACCCCAGGGTCAGCAAGCATCTGATATTGAAAAAACAGGAAAAGTAGGTTTTTCCCTGACAACCTGACCTCTCTCACCAAACTGGGTACCAGAGCCATAAAACAGAAGTTAAAAACCTCATATTCAAACAACCCCAAAATTTTAATCAAGCTCTAAATTGTTGCTGACAAATTCCTGCTAGCAGCTAACTCCAGAAAGCAGCTGATGTGGCCTGCATTATGGGTGACTGGGCCCCAGTAAATTACACACTCATCACATACTATCTTAACTGGAAAAAGCAATACAAGCCACTGCCCCTTCCAAACTTAGTCTCCTACCACTCAAAGTGGTTCCTGTCCTACTATGGTAATTAAAAAATAGAAACAAAGCAATGCAACTCAACATCAAGAAGTATTTTATCTCCCGGTGGAGGTTTTGGGGGAAAAAAAACACCCAAGTATAGTAAAAAAATTAGAAAGTTAAAAATTAATTTTGAAAGGCAGTTATGATGTGGTCTCTGTCACCTACCTACATGAAAAGCCTCAAGCAGCAGGCTAACCATGACAACTTGTCCGTCATTCACCTCTGAAACAGCAGGGCAAGGAGTCTTCTCATCATTGGTAAGCTACCTCAAAGTAATTCCAGGGCAGTACAGTCCAGAACTGTTGACACATGGCTACTTGTTACTTCTTTCCAACAGTCCCCAAAGAGAAAAATAGTCTTTTTCCAATTTTTCTTATGAAGACTGATCAGAAGGAGCTGACTAGCTGCTGTAGTCAATTCTCTATGTCCTCAGGGTAGCAGAATGTGGATACAAACAGCGCTAATGAAATGTCTGAACAGTTGAAAAATGATGGGAGGCACACAGCCAGCAGGATCCGCTCCAGACAGATCCACACTGGAGAAGTGAACTCTGGCACATTATATTGAAGAAGTGTACCTCCAAAACATTAAAAAAAAAAAAAAAGAGAAAACAAAAAAGACAACTCCCCTAAAACATTGTTATAGCCAAAACAATTTTCTATCAGGCTGATTTTAAAAGAATAATCAATTATTCACTGAAGTCTAATCACAGCTCCGAAGTGCTTACCATCTGAAGTAGAAATAAACACCAGAAGGAGGATGCAGGCAAAGGTGGTTACCATTAATAAACTTCTAAGATAAGAATTTCTTAAGTGTATGCTGCAGTTTCTCATCACTTATTAATAAATTACAATCAATTTTTCCCTAGTTATCATAATTTAATGCCAAGAGAGAAAGGCCAAAATCTCCCACAGTTGCTGACTGCTGCAAAGCAATATCCTCCTCAGCTGCTATCATGAAACATCATAGAAAATGAGTTTAATTTTATATTTTAAGTGTTGAGCAATACAGATGGGGTAATGTAAATAAAAATCACTGGTCTCCATCAATGTTAAGATGATAAAAGTAACTGCACGTTGTTTATACAAAGATTGCGGTTTGCAAATATAATCCTACAGGCAGAATATTACCCCAACATGGTTACATTTCTTCCCTCCCATGCAGCTGATGCTTTATGCATTAGAAGAGTCAAAAGAAAAGTCCTATCCTACAATCTAGAATGTTTATAGGATCACTTTTGAAAGTATCTTAGTCATACAGGAACATAAATCATTTTGGAAAAATCTTACCATCACTCCGTTTGAAGTGTGGTAGCTAGTAATATAAGTCCAACTTGACTACAGCTTTCTACTCCAGTATTTACAACACATGAAGGAATAACCAACATGAGTAATTGCTTACATAATGTTGTGTTTTGTACAATATTTGCTTAATCAATCATGCAAAACAGTACTACCTGCAATTTAACCCACAAAGACATCACTGTATAACTGTTAACTGACAATGATTTTAAATAATCTAGATCAGGCCAAAAGCATGTATTTATACAGTATCCATCCATTTTTTCTTACTAAGATTATCACAGCTTCAACAGAACATAGCGCTTTTAAAGTTATTTTATTTTACAGTCTAGCCCCAACCTAGCTGTGAGCTGTTCAAAAGATGCTGGATGCATTTGCAGGATACGACAGGTGAGAGTCAATCAGTAAGTGCTGACGACAGATCTACAGAGGAAATGCCTTCAAGTATATGAGCATATGAAGACAATCACCTGGCCAAATTTTGCGGTGCCTTTTACACTGACCATGCCCACAATTTAGTATCAAATCAAATTTTTATGAAAGCAAATATTCAATTCTAAGTGAACATATTTTCTAGAAAGTTAGATTTATTGATTGCAACTGAAATTTCTCATTCTTCTGTACTACTACACAGAACTACAAATCTTATGCTTTGCAGAAAAAAATGAAGACTTTACTCTTTTTAACGAAAGTTTAAACAAAAACAGTGATAGGAAAGTGGCACTGAAAACAAGATTCACTACAGTGAGAAAAAGAGAGATTAAAATTACCTATTCAGGTATACTGGCATTGAGGAGAGTTATAGGTGAGGGAAAGTTTCAAAAGGCCCTTTAAGGCAGCATAGAGGCTCACAGGATGACAGACAAGCTATACAGTTATATATTGTGCTAGCAATTATAACTCTCTTTCTTCCCTATCATCCTGCCAAAAAAGAGAGTAGTCAGCTTGCCTGGTCCTTTTCAGAATGAACAGAACATCAAACACTGCATGAAATCCACAATTTAATTAGCCAGATATTTTATACAGGATGCATCTTAAAATGAAAAACATAACTCATGAACTGCTGGGTTTTAATCTGGAAAAATCACAGAGTTACCAGTATTTCCATCTAGAGGAAGGTATTTGGAAATAAAAGTTACCATACATACTGAACCCACAAAGTAAAAAGAGAATTCCTTACAATTCCCACATGTGCATAAGCTGGCAGCCTAAAACCGTAAAACTTAAGACTATCCTACATACTCCATCATATTTTCAGTAACCTGTCAAGTTCACAGTCTGTGCTGGTTTGTAATGAACCACTTTACACTAAAAAACCCACTCTCATAATTTAAATTTATCATTTTGTTTAAACTGATTTAAAATCAACGAAGAAGCTTTAAAAATAAGTGTTTGCATAATGATTTAAGTTATTCATATAAAAAGGAAAGTACAGGAAAATTAACTACTCCCTGCAAATAAAATTAATTATATAAAAGTTATTAAATATTTACTCAAAAGTACATTTTCCATATATTCTCTAAGATGCCTTCTGCTTTGTAGAAATGTTTTCAATTACAATTCTCAATGCACAATGAAGAAGTGACTAATTGAAAGGATGACGAATTGCTGTAGTCACAGAACCATCACAATACCTTGTCTGTGCGAAAGCAAGATACTGCAAAGCCCCATCTGAAATACTGCTCTTTCACTGGTGCTGAAATGCAGTTTTTCTGCTGGTATTTCTGGGTGTGTCTCTTGAGTTTCTTTTTGCTTAATATTAGACCAGAATCACCAAGTACTTCATTGTGGAAAAGGCACGAGCAATGTTTCTGGTTTGGGTTTTTTTTTTTTTGTTTTGTTTTGGTTGGTTTTTTTTAAAGACTCCACTCACTGGAAACTAGGCAGGCTGGTTATCAGACCAAAAGATTAAACGGAAGTGGCAGTTAAGACTGAAAATCACCAATAAATTCAGGTAAGAAAGAATTCGTGTCAGAACAGGAAAGAACTATTTCTGGGTGTGTAGAAAAAGCAATTTCTGAGGACCTAGCCCAAGGTGGCCCTCCTGAACTTGCCCTACCTCTTGTCCCAAGTTTTACGATTTTAATAGTGTTATCTACAGTTGCTTCAACTTGCTGCATATTTTGACTTTCATTCAGAAAGTAGTCATGTATTAAGAGGGGTCACTTGGCTCTTAAGCTCATATCATATATCCCGATACATACAGAATAAGGCCAATAGAAACATTTGACTGGCTTCTGGAAAAAATCACCAATGAACGAGAAATACCACAGAGAGAGCTTTTACATATGGAAACAGCTAACATTAGATGGTCAAACCAAACCAGCAAGGCAGTCTATGCAACAAAGAACATCAGTGATGTAGGAGGGAGAAGAACAATGTTTGCTCTGCTATTCAAGTAACTATCATCATCTAGAAAACAA